CAGCCTTGCAACTGGCACAAAGTGAGTAGCCAGCCCGTGGCCCTTTAAGGGCTCCGGGGCCGGGAGGGGGGCAATAGAGTTTCCCTGGTGTTGGCCAGAGTGGCCACCAGGGAAACCTGGGAAGCCTTAGCCTCCCACTAGTTCGAACTAAAGGGCTACACAGCCCTTAGTTCGAACTAGCTAGTTCGAACTAGGCGTTAGTCCTCGTAAAATGAGGTTTACCTAGTTCGAACTAAGCGCTCCGTTAGTTCGAATTAAGTTCGAACTAACGGAACGCTAGTGTAGCGCCTAGGAAAGTTAGTTCGAACTAACGTCCGTTAGTTCGAACTAACTTTGTAGTATAGACATACCCACAGTTACTGGTAGAGGATAATCCCGTACCGCGCTTACTTTGTCTACTAGGGGTTTCAGATGCCCTCCTCCCACCGTATATCCTAAGTACGATATTTCCCGGCACCCAAACCTGCATTTCTTCGGGTTTGCTGTCAAGCCAGCGTCTGCCAGTGTCTCGAGTATGGCGCGCACCTGCTCCAGGTGCTGGCTCCAGGTCGCACTAAAGATGATGATGGCGTACGGCTGGTGTTTACGCAATACTCGGTCCATCAGTCACTGGAATGTCGCGGCTGCTCCATGGAGTCCGAAGGGTATAGTTATAAATTGATACAATCCAAACAGGGTCGCGAAGGCCGTTTTTCTCTGGCACCGGGGGCTAAGGGGATTTGCCAGTATCCCTTTGTGAGAGGTATTGCGCTTCCCCGATTCGTTCAAGCAGCTCATCCACCCGAGGCATGGGATAGGCATCAAAGCGGGAGATGGCATTCACCCCGTGGAAGTCTATACAAAACCGCAGCGTTTTGTCCGATTTTGGGACCAACACTATCGGGCTCCGCCAGTTGCTCCGAGACTCCTCCACTACCCCCCCACTGCAACATCATCTGTAATTCTTGTCTCACGGGTTCCCACAATTTCCGGGGTAATGGTCTGAGGGCATTACGAACCTTCTTCCCTGGTTCTGTATATATCTCGTGACTCGCAAGGGTGGTCTTACCTGGCCGATTGGTCAATACGTGGGGGTACGGCTGCAGCAACTGTTCCACCTCCTTCCTTTGCACCGGTGTCAGCTCTCCCTCTATACAGGGCTCCATCTCTGGTTCACACCATGGGCCGAAGTCCAGCTCAGGAGGCTGAGGGTCAATGAAAAGTGCTTCCCGAGGTTTCCACCTCTTTAGCATATTTACATGGTATATCTGGGTGTCTTTTCTCTTTCCATATAACTTTATCTCATAGTCCACCTTCCCAACCCTCCTTAGGACTTCGAACGGGCCTTGCCATTTCGCCATCAACTTAGAGTCCCGATCCGGCAGTAGCAATAGAACCCGGTCTCCCGGTGCGAACTCCCTCAAGCGGGCCCCCTGATTATATCGTGCCTCTTGTTGTCCCTGGGCTTTTCCTAAGTTGCCCTTCGCTAATTCCCCCAGGGCTTGTAATTTTTCCCGGAGGTGTAGCACATATTGGACCGTGCCCTGGGCCCCTGACTCTTGTTCCTCCCAGTGTTCTTTTACCAGGTCTAATATCCCCTGCGGTTGCCGCCATACAACAATTCAAAGGGGGAGTACCCCGAGGAGGCCTGTGGCACCTCCCGGATGGCGAATAACAGGGCTGGCACCAATTTATCCCAATCCCGGGGATCATCTTGTATAAATCATCTTAGCATCATTTTTAATGTCTTGTTGAACCTTTCTACAAGGCCATCAGTTTGAGGGTGGTATACGGAGGTGTGTAAGGTCTTAATTCTCAACATCCAGTATAGTTCGGCTATCACCCGGGAAGTTACATTCGGGCCTTGATCCCGGGGAAGACCCACCCTCGAAAAAATTTTTACCAGTTCCTCCGCGATCGTGGGGGCTGTGGTTGACCGTAAAGGGACCGCTTTGGGGTACCGGGATGCGTAGTCTATTACAACCAATATAAATTGATGTCCCCGGCCCAACCTTTCTACCGGCCCTACTAGGTCAAAGGCTATGCGTTCAAAAGGGACCCTGACCACTGGGAGGGGAACGAGCAGGGCCCTTGGGTCTCCTGCCGGAGCTGTCTGCTGACACTGGGGGCAAGAGTCACAAAAGTCTCGGACGGCCCGGTACACCCCCGGCCAGAAGAACCTTTGCAGTACCCGCTGTTGGGTTTTCTCCCGCCCCAGGTGCCCGACCCACGGGTTGGCATGAGCCAATTCCAATACCCACCACCTATACCCGTCCCTCCCTTTCACTAGTCACCTGGTATAAGTGGTCCCCCTGTACCTCAAACCGTGGACTCTGGCCGTATGTCCCCCGAGTCTCGCCTTCTTCGCTCGGCATTGACGCTTGTTCCCAGGCTCGTTGGAGTAAAGGGTCCTCCTGCTGGAGTTGGAGGAAATCCCCTTCCTCTATATCTAAGTTGAAGGGCTGGGCGTCGGCGCCGGAGCTGGGCTGATCGGTTGCTGTTACTCCGGCAGCCCGGGCCGGGGTTTCTTCTACTTGGGCCACCTCCAGCACTGCTTTCCCGGGAGCACCCTCCAGGGTCGTCATCGCCTGCCCCCACTGTTGTAGCAGGGGGTCCAGACCCGGCCAATCATATCCCAGTAGCGCCGGGTACGCCAGATTCGGGGCCAACGCCACCCGCCAAATCTCCGTGCACTACCCATCCCCGATCTGTACCCACGCCGTCGGATAAGGGCGGATGTCCCCGTGGACACACTGCATCCAAATGGGCCCCCTAGTGGCCGCTCCCGCTTCAACCAGGTCGGCTCGCACCATTGTTTGTCCACAGCTCGAGTCCACCAGTGCCTCCACAATCCACCCCCCTACCTTTATTCTCGCCATTACCTTACTCAGAAGGTTTCCTGGGGGCTGTGCATTGGAGGTCATCACTTTCCTGAATGTGCAGTCCATCTTGGGGCACTCTCGATGGAAGTGGCCCTTCTGCCCGCACTGGAAGCATATGAGTTTACCTAGTGGCCCAATCTTCCGTCCATCCTCCTTCTCTTCAAGGGGCACCCGCTTCTCATTTTTTGGCTCTTCTACAGGGTTTCGCCATACGGGGGCCAATTTTCGCCCCCAGGCCGGTCCTGGCTCCGCAGGCTGTCTCCGCTCACCTCCACCCCGTCTGGCAGTGCCCTTGCTCATGGTCGGGGTCCTTCCCGGTAGACCACTTCCTGGCGTCCTCCCCTGGTCCTCCGCCCCTTCTGCGGCCATGAAGTCCTCCATCAGGGTCATGGCCTCCGCTAGGGTTGAGAGGTGATGGCGTCGGACCCACCTCTGTCCTTCCACTGATAATATCTGTACGAACTGTTCCAAAATGACGGCTTCGGCCACCTGCATCCCGGTCTTAGTTTTGGGCTCCAGCCACCTCATCCCGGACTCCTTCAGGCGCTGGGCCTCTCTCCCTGTCGATAGCGTTCTTGTCGGAACCACTGGTGGTACGTTTCGGGGGTTATCCCTACCTGGTCCAATATGGCCTCCTTCACTTTATAGTAGTGGATAGCGTCTTTCGCGGACAACCCTTGGTATGCCCACTGGGCTGGCCCCGACAAATAGGGGGCCACTATAGTCGCCCAGTGTTCTTCCGGCCATCTTGCCACTGTGGCCACTCTTTCAAATGTCACGAGGAATGCCTCGATGTTATCCTCTGGGCCCAACTTCGCCAGCCGCATGGGCAAGCCGAATGGGCAGCTGGGTCCCGCTAGCTCTGCCTTCCTCACCTGGCAGGGGGGCTTCCCCTCTACTCCGCCTGCCCTCGGTGGCCTGTTGCTGCTCCGTGAGCTCTCTGATCAGCTGCCGCTGTTGCTCTTGGAACTGCGATGCCAGCTGCTGTAGGATCTGGGTCTGTTGGTGCTGCTGCTGGCCCTGATTCTCCATCACCCATTCTAACACCTTTGCTGGCTCCATTTGGTCTCCTTAAAAACACAAACTTCCTCCCTTATCCTTACCCTAGAGTCTCCCCAGTTCTCCTAGCGCCCCCTTACACTCGGGGCCTGGTACCCACATTCTCCACCACGTGTCACGGAGCCCCCGACCCCGACCGCCCTGGTCATGTCCCTCCGTCCTGCTTGTTGCCCCAGTCTCCTCTGATTCCGCTGAGCTGAGGATTGCTGAACCTCCTTCTGGTCGCTCCGACAATCACCTGAGCGGGGAGCTGAGCGGGGTCCGGGCCCTCCCTCTCTCCAGACCCCAGCTCAGGACCCTAAGGCGGGGGAGAATTACCTCTCTCCTCTCACCTGGCTGATGGGGCAAGGTGCCTCAACACATCAGCCCGCGGGCTCCTGTCTGCACCCGCCCTGGGCTGCTTCCTCACCCTCCCACTCACTGTCGGGTCTGTCCCGGTGCTTCTTCGAGGCTCTCAGCCCCTTCATCCGCCTTCTCCCTCCTTCCTCCCCAGTCCTATGGCTCCTGCCGGTTTTATCCCAGGGAGGGTGCCGCCCCTCCTCTCCAGGAAGCCTGCAAGCGGCTCCTCCCCTTTTCCTCCAGCTGCCCCCGCCCCCTCTTAGGGATCTCCTCCCGGCCAGCATCGCTGGGTATCGAGGCTGCTGGTGGGTGGTCGGCGGGGGCACCGACCCTGAAGCGGCAGAGGCAGAGTATCCCCCCGCTGCCGCTGTCTCCCCCGCCGCGGGGGAAGCCTCCTCCCCGGCGTCCGGGGAACCACCAATTAAGCCGCCTACCGGGTGGCGCGTCTCTGCCGCTGCTCCGGCAGCTTCTCTCGTGGCCGGGAAAGCTGCTCCGCGCCCCCTGGCCTTCCTGGGCGGTCGCGGTTAGTGCGTGGTTGCGCCACCCCGTCACAGCTTCTTCCTGAGAGGGAGCATCAGAGTTCTGACGCAAGGTCTGCGTCTAGACTGGCAAGCTGTCTACTTGCCAGCTGTCTACACTGGCCGTTTCTGACGATCTAATGTAAGATTGTCAGTGTTCTTGTGCAAATACTATGCTTCTCCCGTTCGGGAAAAAGCTATCTTGCGCAAATGTATTTGAGCAAGAGGGCCATTGTAGACAGCTAAAAACTGTTTTGCGCAAAAAAGTCCCGATGGCGAAAATGGCGATCTGGGCTTTCTTGCGCAAAACCGCGTCTAGATTGGCATGGACACTTTTCCGCAAAAAGTGCGTCTGTGCAAAATTGTCCTTGCCAATCTAGACGCTCTTTTCCGCAAGTGCTTTTAACTGAAAAACTTTTCCGTTAAAAGCATTTGCGGAAAATCATGCCAGTCTAGACGCAGCCATTGTGTGGCCTAGGCCCTAGGGCAAGTCATTATGTATAGCCTGATTTCAGAAATGCTGAGCACCCACAACTTCCTCTGAAGCAACTGGGAGCCAACTGATGCAAAGAAGCTTTGCAAATCAGGCACTGAAGTCAAAGATTTCAAGTGTTCATTAGTCTTGGTTGGTTGACTCCATTTTTGAGTGTTCAGCTGAGTCACCAAAAGTTTATGAATCCCTTGGAAAATATTGGCCTTAATCTGTCTGTGCCTGTTTTACCATCTGCAAATGGGTAAAATAATCTCTTCCAAATCTAGAGAGCCTTTATTAACAGTCACAAAGCATTTTGAGATCTCTGGATGACAGGTGCTATATTACTACAAAGTGCCCCTTACACTTAGATAAGTACAATTGAGTTTTGCTTTGTTATGGAGGAAGAACATAGCACACCCTTCCCAAAAATAAATTATTTATTCACTGAGTACAGACTGAATTTTCTAAGAATTTGTAAGCAAATCTACTAATTGGTTTATCATTTAAAACAGACCTTTTAATAAATTGACATGTTATTTTTGTTCCGAATTATCTGAATAATACAGGTCCAACAAACTTCCCATTGAAAGTGTTTTCTCCTCAGCAACTGCGGAATAATATTCTGCTATAGAGAATAGCACAAAGAACCACCATCTTTCAAAATGGCTAGCATCCCCTATTGTTCTCAATGAGAGTGAAGCTAAAGGTTAAGATTTTATTCTTTCTGAAGTGGCTGCTGTCACAAGTAAACTTCCAGGCAGACTGTGATGAAGCCGGACACAGACCCCAGACTGTTGGTGTGTTCTACAATTAGATTTTACCAATCCACAAGCATGATAATATCTTAACCTTATAATTACAGATGGCCCCCTTAGACACCCCAATCTATCTTGCCATCTAGATAAGCCTGCCTCTGTAATACATGGTCTCTTATGTCAAAAACCACAACAATATTCAGGTTATTCCCAGTTCCAAAGGACTGTTCACTTACCCAGGTCTCTCACCAAAGACAGTGCTTGTAGCCAAACCTATAATAAAACTAAATATTTATTAACTAAGAAAAGAAATGAGTTATTTACATGGTTAAAACAGGTAAAATGCCCTTACAAATGAATTATAGTTTTAGATTACAAAAGATAATAGAAATTTGTTGATCGACTTTGCTTTAAGCAGACATTGGGGCATGGGGACAGTAGGAAGGTTTTTCTTTAGTCTGCATGGCTGGATAGTATACACTCAAGAATGCAGTAAGGTGGCAAGTGCTTAAGTGTTTTTTAGCATTAGCTGTCAAAACAAAAACAAATAGGACAATGACATGCATTGCACCGAGTAATTAAATTATAGAAATAACATTTGCAAGAAGCAAAACTACAATTAAAATGGGTTACAGTGATGGGAGTGCAATTCAGTGTTCCATGAGCAGCAGACAACATAAATGTGTGAAATGTTGAGACGTCATGTCCTGTCTTTAGCCCTTTTCCATTTTTAACCCCTTTTAAAATGTACTAAGCAAAAACTTCTACATAGTACAGGACGGGAGAAGGGCTGGGGCGTCTGCAGACCTACTGAGCACGCTCAGTGCCTCCAATTTGAGTTGAATTATAAAAAAGCAGGTTTAAGCAAATAAAAAAGCCCTTCTGCCACAGCCACCCTTTGACTGGTGCCTCATTCCCACAGGGGTGACAGTTTTTAAACCGTCTGCCCTTCCTGTGCTCGGGCTTTGCCCTCTGTGTTGCTCCAGCAGCGGAGTTTACCTGCTGCTCCTCCCTGCACCAGCCCTGAGTTTGCCCCAGCACTGATCCTAAATCTGCCTGTGGCCGCTTCACTCCCGCACAGTCAATGTTCACCCCCCTCCGCTGTGCAGCCCCTTTCCTCCCTTATTCTGCTTTTGTGGAAAAACTTGCCAGCTGTCTACACTGGCCGCTTGAATTTCCACAAGAACACTGAGATCTCAAGTAAGAAATCAGCGCTTCTTGCGGAAATACTGTGCTGCTCCCTTTCGGGCAAAAGGGCCAGTGCAGACAGCTCAGATTTCTCTTCCGCAAAAAAGCTCCGATGGAGAAAATGGCGATGGGGGCTTTTTTGCGGAGAAGCGCGTCTAGATTGGCCACGGATGCTTTTCGCAAAAAGTAGCGTCCGTGCCAATCTAGACACTTTGTTCCAAAAATGCTTTTAACTGAAACTTTTCCGTTAAAAGCATTTGCGGAAAATCATGCCAGTCTAGACGTAGCCAGCCAGAGTGGGCAGGGAGAAGGGCAGTGGCGTCAGCAGAGCTACTGAGCATGCTCAGTGCCCTTAAAGTTCCCCTAAGTAGCGCAAGCGCACAGGCAACACACTACCGGAAGTGGAGGTCATGTGACACAGGGCGGTACAGCCCTGGCGGAAGCGCCAGTACCCGTGCCCCGCAGCTGAAGCTGAGACTCGGTACGTGCAGCCAGCGCGGCTCGGGTCCCGGGAGGGCGGGGTCGGTGCTCCTGGCGGGCTGGCACCCGCGGAAGGGGTCGCTCTCACTACCGGCGCGTCATTGGGGGGAGGCGGGGCAGCCCCCATGGTGAGTGCGGAAATCCCCGCCCCCTGCTGTGGGGCTGGGCCCTCGCTGGCCTCCCAGCCCCATTGCTGGGAAAGGGCAGGGGGTAGTCTCGTCCCAGCCCTACCGGGAGGGGGGTGCAGCATGGAGGCACGTGCGAGGGCGGTCACATGGCCGATGCCCCCTGTTCTTCATTAGGCGCCCTTGCCTGGACCAAAAAAAGTTAAATTAGACTGGAAAAGGTATGAGAAGAGCCCCAACAACGGCTGTGGGTATGGTACAGTATCCGTCTGAGGAGAAATTAAAAACGCCTCGTCCCTGAGGGCAAGGGCACGGGGTATGTGCAGTTGCTCACTCTGTGGTTGGTCCATACGTGACATGAATGTATCTGGGCTAATGGCTTGAGTCTGTAGCGTAGCCCTTGAGTTACAGGACAGTAACTCAGACTAAGCTGAGCTGCTACCTTTTATAATGGTCTAGCACTTGAAACATGCCTGTTAGGGTTAGGGGGATGGGAGTTCTTCCACCCGCAGGGTGATGACCTCTTTTGCTCAGTGTGGGGTATTGACACCAGTGTTCTCTCTTAAGCTGTGCAGTAGCACTGCTTCACAGTTGATTAATCAGCTGTGATTAGAGTTGATTAATCTACACTAGGGCTAAAGTTGACCTAAATTACTCAAATCCAGCTACATGAATAATGTAGATGGAGTCTGTGTATCTTAGGTTGACTATCTGTGGCATCTACACTGCACCGGATGGATGCGAGAAACTTTCTTATTGGCTTACTTTAGGCTTTTCTCTCTGGTGGGAGCACATTCAGTAGTCGATTTAATGGGGCTTCACTAGACCTGGTAAATCAACTCCCACTGGATTGACCACCACAGCAAGACTCCCACAACTAGTAAACACAAGCCCTGAGAGGATAAATGCTGGCCTCTGGAGAGACACATAGCTGTCACCTGAGACTGATCAGGAAACAGAAGGAGAGAGTCAAAAATTGAATCCATGGCAGCATAGCTGGGTGGCGAACTGGCTTGGCTTAAACTTTGCTTCTCTCTTCTAACCTAAGGATTTCCTGTGCTGGAAATCCACTTGTCTAACAAACCCTACTATGAATAGGCTGCCTGGTGTCATTCATTGGCTGATGTGCTTTGGTCTCTGAAGAATGTAAAAGGCTAACCAGAAGTCAGTCTAAGATGGACTTTCTGGGAGATCTCCTGGTGTAAAACAGTAGTGTTGGCAATGAACAGCAATCTTTAAGTGATCCATCCTCGGTTGTCCACACTCAGCTTCCAGCAAGCAGAAGCTAGCAACTCATGGGCTGTCTCTAGACTGCATCCCTTTTCCGTAAAAGGGATGCAAATTAGACACATCGCAATTGCAAATGAAGCAGGGATTTAAATCCCCCCCCTGCTTCATTTGCATAAACATGGCTGCCGCTTTTTCCCGGTTCGGAGCTTTGCTGGAAAAAAGCGCCAGTCTAGACAGGGATCTTTCGGAAAATAAACCCTTTTCCGAAAGATCCCTTATTCCTTATTTTAAGAGGAATAAGGGATCTTTCGGAAAAGGGTTTATTTTCCGAAAGATCACAGTCTAGACTGGTGCTTTTTTCCAGCAAAGCTCCGAGCCAGAAAAAAGCGGCAGACATGTTTATGCAAATGAAGTGGGGGGGGTTTAAATCCCCGCTTCATTTGCAATTGCGATGTGTCTAATTTGCATCCCTTTTACGGAAAAGGGATGCAGTCTAGACACAGCCATGGAGCTGTATCCCTGACCTTCTTAAATCATAGAATCCTAGGGTTGAAAGAGACCTCACGAGGTCACTGAGTCACACCCCCTGTTAAAAGCAGGACCAACCCTAACTGAATCCAAAGCCAAGGCTTTGTCAAGCTGGGACTTAAAAACCTTTAAGGAAGGAGATTTCACCACCTTCCCAGGTAACCTATTCCAGAGCTTCGCCACCCTCCTCGGGAAGTAGTTTTTCCTAATATCTAAACTAGATCCACCACCCTACTGCAACTTAATACCATTGCCCCTTGTTATGCTCTCCTACTGGGTAGCAATTCAAAGTTCAGATGGAAACAAAGGTGTGCATGAAAATTATAAAATTATTCTAGACAATTCTCACTTTTACACAAGGTAGCCAAAAATTGCTGCAGAGTACAATTAAAAAACACTGTGCTGTATGATACCCATCTTACTGTGATGCAGATTGCTCCAGACCCTTGGCTGCCGGTGACAGTTTGTGACTCCAACCCAGGCATGAAGGTCAATGCATAGAAAGGCAGTGTTGTGCTGCAAAAGTGCTGTTACTCTAGCAAAGCCTGCTCCCTTCCACACACTCACATGTCGGAAGCTGGCACCTCTCCTGATATTTATGCAGGCAGGGGATTCTAACACTTTAATTGCTATAATAGCTGTGCCCTTTGTATGGTGCTAGGACGGGTGATGCAGATATGTGGTCCGAAGTACAAGTCCAGAACTGCTGCGATTAAGGTTTCCAAAGAAGAAAAATTCCACTCACACCCACCCCACCCCCTATGTCACACAGTATGCCTGCCCAAGCTCCCTGCCCATGCACATGAACATGCATCTAATTGTCCCCCATGTTTGTATGGATACACCTGATGCTCCACCCTGCTTGTATTAGTAAGCACACACCTGACTGTCTCTCTTCCCCCTCCTCCCCCCCCATATGTTAGTGAGTATGTTAAGAATCCCTCCTGAGAGCAGAAAAGGGCCAAGTGAGACTCACTTTCCTGACATTCATAGGGGGCTCGTCTACACTGGCCCCTTTTCCGGAAGGGGCATGTAAATTTCACCTATCGTAGTAGGGAAATCCGCGGGGGATTTAAATATCCCCCGCGGCATTTAAATAAAAATGTCCGCCGCTTTTTTCCGGCTTTTAAAAAAGCCGGAAAAGAGCATCTACACTGGCCCCGATCCTCCGGAAAAAGCGCCCTTTTCCGGAGGCTCTTATTCCTACTTCAAAGTAGGAATAAGAGCCTCCGGAAAAGGGCACTTTTTCTGGAGGATCGGGGCCAGTGTAGACGCTCTTTTCCAGCTTTTTTAAAAGCCGGAAAAAAGCGGCGGACATTTTTATTTAAATGCCGCGGGGGATATTTAAATCCCCCGCGGATTTCCCTACGATGACTAGTGAAATTTACATGCCCCTTCCGGAAAAGGGGCCAGTGTAGACGTAGCCAGGGTGTTTGCAGTCCTGGAACCAAAGGTAAGGGCTTCACATGAATGCTTGGCTTACTGTTCTTCAAGCTCCTTGTTATCTGATGGGGCCATTCCCATGCAAGGCTGATGCTGAGTTAACAAGTTTAATGTTTTCCCAGGTATCACATTTGCCTCTGTCAGACCTGGGTTCAGCTCTGTGTTTGCTTCCTCAGTGGCTCAGCTCTTCCTGTTCCCATGCAGCATGTAGAATTTCCGAGTTACTCAATGACAGGCAACCTTGTGTCTCAGGATTTCCAAGTGTGGGCTCCACGAGGAGTAACGGTAGTTCGGAATAGAGAGCCTAATCCAAACTACCTACTCCGTGCCGCGTGTAGCCGCGGGCACGGAGTCCGAACTACCGGGGCTTTAAAAATGGTGGCGCCCGGCAAGATGCAAATGAAGCCCAGGATATTTAAATCCCGGGCTTCATTTGCAACTTCGGATGCCTACATTAACCACCCTAGTTTGAACTAGGGTGGTAGTGTAGACATACCCAGAAATAGAAATGTAGCCTTGTTAGTCTGGTGTAGCTAAAACAAAATACAGGGCTATGTAGCACTTTAAAGACTAACAAGATGGTTTATTAGATGATGAGCTTTCGTGGGCCAGACCCACTTCCTCAGATCAAATAGTGGAAGAAAAT